TAGGCGCGTACCTTGCAGGATCTCCGCTCCCCCTGCTGGCATGGCCGCTGCCGTGCCTGCACTTCTCCAGGGCGGATAAAACCGCCATGCTAGAGTGCCAGATCTGATCAATCGACTTCGGTTGGTTGTCTGACCAGCTCGAATTCTGTTCGCCCCACCCAGCGCTCGGAGAGCGACCTGCGGGCACCCACAGGATCGGTAAAGTCATCATCAACGATCTCATAGCGATTGGTGGCAGTGTAATACACCAGCGTCCTTCGACGTCCGGTGAACTCCACTTGACCAATTTCTTCTCGAGCATAGCCGGGATGAAACAACTGGATACGCGGTGTGCGATGCCACCTCATCAACACCACGGGTCGTAGCAGAGGCTGATACAGGAAATCATCCGGTCCAGGTCCTATTGGCAGCTGGTGCACTGCCGAAAGCCTGCCTCCCCAGACCGACCGCTGCCGATCGATGTCCCGTAAAGGAACCCTAACCGGCACTTGCCAATCCTCCCTGATAACAGGGGCGACCATACGATCAGGATGAAGACCGACAACACCCGCCCTTGGGCCTTGGGTCCCAAAGATCTGAGGATTATTAATCCTAATCGCCTGTTGCCTAGCTTCCTCGACACTAAATACTCGCACATGTGGGCCAGGGCGATCGTCCGGAGGACGTACAGGGCTTTCGATTGCATCGTCCAAGTATCTGGTCACTCGAGTAGGCACCTGCTGAGACGCCGGTTCGAGTTCTGGCTCAGTAGTTTGAACTGGTAGTCCTCTTCGCCTAGCTCTCAGACGACTCTCTCTCTCCTCTCTGAGCTCTGTCTGCATCTGGAGTGATTCAACCTGGTCTTCAGACAAGGGCTCTTGCAAATCTGGCCTTCGCGGCCGAGCTAGCACAGCCAAAAGAGTCCTAATCCCAAGCTTCAGCCCTTCCCAGCAGCACACGACCAAAACTACGACCCCGATCCAAAATCTCCATGCTACGCCGTCATCATCATCTGCTTCAGTGGACCGGTGTCCTTCAGCTTGGCACATCATGCATGCCAGAAGCACTACTTGCAAACACTTCAGCGTAGCCTTTGAAAGACCTTGACTTTCCGTTGGCTTCTGGACAGAAGTGTTTCCGATCTCTTGAACTCCGATTAAACTACACAGATACTTCACCCGCTGGGCTCCGAGAGGCTTGGTACCTAAGTCAGCACCGTTTTGCAACCCCTCAATGTGACTAATCACGTAAAACCCCATTTCCCATCGCTCGCGCATCGTGCGAGCTTTGATCCTCAATGATCTTGTTCTCCAATGAGAGTTTTGCCCTATAAAAACAGATACAGCTGCTTGGTTATCATTGTAGATATGAACCCGTGGCGCTTTCTGCGCCAACTCTGCCAAGAGGTAGACGTGAGCCTGCGCGAAGCAACACCCTGTAGCCGTTGCCAGCAGCTCAGTCTCACACGAGCTTTGTGTCATGTAAGGCTGACGCGTGACATGCCAACCAACAAGACAGTTTTCGACAAACAACAAGCAGCACTCACTAGAGCGCGATGCATCAGGTGCAAATGAACTGTCCGTGAGCACTTCTAGTAGGTTGCTACATCCAACCTCCTTTCGCCCCGGTCTTGGGCCACTCGGATCAGAACACAAGTACACCAAGCCAACGTTCGCAGAATCAACCAAGTATGCAAGCACATGCAAGCCTAGTTGATAAGTCTTGGACGGGTCACGATTCATCCACTGCGCGAGTTTGGATATCGAAAAAGACACGTCAGGGCGAGTGCGAACACTCACCCATAAGATCTCGCCAATCAAGCGTTGACACGTACGCAGCACGCCGCTATCAATGTTCTCCACCGCTTCCGGTTCCATGACTCCTGGGCCTAATGGGGTCCCGTACTGTTTAACTTTCTGAAGCTCATGGGAGTAACGATCCGCAAGATCCTTAATGTACGACTCCTGCCAGATAAGCAAATTGCGCTCAGACGACCAAGCCAACTGCAACCCTAGAAATCGTAGCGGCTTGCACAAATCCGCTGTTAACCATTCCGGTTCTCCACATTTCCACATGGTAGTAATAGTCGTCAACAACAACTTCACCAACTCACGGCACGCAGCAATGATAAGGTCGTCTATGTACACTCCAATCCAACCCCAAACCGAAACTCCGGACTCCTCGCACTGGTCAAGCCCTAAGCCCGATCTACTCCAGCACCTTTCCGGTTCATTCTCGGCGACAAGCCAAATGTTAGGGTCGGCGAAAGATTGATACAATCTGAGTTCCCTACCTTGGAATTTCACGGCCAATCGTCTCAGCGTGAAGTCTCGGCTCAAACTCCAATCCCTGGGACTGGTGTCTAATCCGTAAATAGCCTTTGCGACTTGCCAAAGGGTGTTCCTTCCGACCAAGCCCCGCTGTATCAAACACCGCGGCGGCAGTAAGATCACGATTTCATCAATTGGCACGCTTTCTCCGTCCGCAGCCGCCGCTGCGGCCTGTTCCGCCTTGACCCTCTCTCTAGGTAAGAGTTCCGCATTAAGGAAGGCAGTCCGGATGTCAGTAATGGCAATCTCGTAGGAACGCCTAGTAGCTACTGCCAATGCACATCGCAAGTGCGTAACATCAAGGGAAGAGGCGAACACAGCGTCCTTATGATCCTGGCGACTCTCATCCTTCGAGGGTGCCATGTTTCCACATGCCACTATTCTACATTTATGCCGACCATCAGGAGCTTTGACCGTCCACACTGCCTTAGCCGGAATGGTGGTTACTCGTTTCCCAGATTCTTTCCACCGCTGCACCTGTTTCCAATCCACTGGAATCAAAGCACGCTTTTCCTCAACCAAGGCCGAAATCTCCTTATTGGCAGGATGCTCCCAAACCTCCCAGTTCGCCAGGACCTCCGGTAAGGACACCGTTCGAGTCTGCAACACCGTGTCCGCACCATCACCTTCAGACACGCGCGTGGAGACCTCAACCCCAGTCAGAGCCTTCAGTTCCTCCCGAAGCTCATGGACTCTATCCCAGGCTCCTTGGACCTCCGACAAGTCCGTATCCCCTGAGGCATCGACGGTCTCGTTCTCACCTGCATGCTCGAGCCAACGCGCCAAACGGTCCTCAGCAAACCCACTCAACCTTAACTGAGCTCGGTCAAGTTCCTCAATGTGAGCGGTCAGCTCCGACAAGTCCCACGGGGCTTGTTCCGCTTCACCTTCCGACGCGGTATGCCAACTACACACACTCGCAGCATCATCCTCTAGATCCTGACAGCTAGCTGTATCGAAAACTCCACCACTCAACAACCAAGCGCAAGGACCATCAACACGGTTCCCACTGCAAGCCACTTGAGCAGAAGTCTGGTCACCAACGCAACTCAAGGTAGCCTCATCAGGAGGAGAAGTAGCCTCAACCGAGTCATCAACCACGCTCAAGTCAAGGTCCTCCGCAACCCTATCACGCACAGACAAACTCGTATCCGAGACCGACTGCACGCTATCAACCAAGCTCAAGCCGACATCAGAACCGACCTTCACACAATCAAGCACGACCTCAACTTCACCTGGCACAAGCTCCACTCGTGCCTCAGCTTCCTTTTTATGGATTATGCAATTTTTATTTGGGTTTTCAAGATCTTTTTCAACCGTGCCATCCACAGAAATATTTATTTGAGTTTGGGTGGAGGCACACAGTTCATCAGCAACACTAGCCACACATGTTGGAAAGCTCGCAAAATTCTCAGGGTACCCCGTCACGGTGGCTCCCCCTTTTGTCTGTCCGTCAGGCAGACAAAACTGCAACGCACGAAGAGTCTGCACTTGCTCATCGCTCATGTTGGACCAACAACCAACAGTATATCCAATCAAGACCACACGGCAATCAGAAGGCTTCCAGGGCTCAGTGGCGTGCAGGACCCCAGGCTTAAACACGAGAGGTTCAGACCAGGAATGCAGCTGTCCCACCACATCATGGCCTTTATGTTGCACAACCTGAAGTTCGCCCGAAACAACATCACCAACCTCCAAGGCAGTCCACAATCGCCCTCCTCGCTTCGGAACGTGCAGAGGCACCAAGCCCGAACGCGACTCATAATCATTAGATGTGTCTTTGTGGACCACGGCCTGAGCATTTACCGACAAACCCACCGTCGTGAAAGTAAGATCCGGCAGGTGTTCGTGGAGCACACGACTTATTAGCGCAGCAAATCCTGGACGGGATTTGGTAAGACGTGTCAAGGATACCACACCACCGCGACGACAAGCTCCAAAGATGTAATGCGCTCCCCCCAAACAGCGAGTTGGCACATGGTGAGACGACGTATGTACAAACTCAGACCCCAGCACGAAATCCACAGCGGCCTGACAATCAAAAGGAACCTGTGCTGCTAACCGGGCTGCCCGAGCGTCATCATCCATCCCCGGCCCCGGTCTTTCGCGCAGAGCCCTCAAGGACCTCTTACCCCAAATCCGAAAAGCAGGAGAAGGAGTAACCTTGCTACGCATTCGCCGTCTCACGGCCCCGGGCTCTGCAATTGGAGGCAAGCCCTTACCAACGAAGAGTTTCAGATCCGACTCCTCGCCAAAGTGAAGCTTGGTAACCACGGACAGCTTGTTCC